GGGGGGGGGGGGGGGTCGTTGGGTTGGGGTAGCAGATACTTCGTCAGGATCGTCCGCCGATGGCTTGACTCAAAGGGGCATTCGTTAGAAGAGAATTCCGGTCCATCGACTCCATTCAATTATCTGATCCCCAACGAATCGCAATTAAGCGTCTTACTTTGGGTCCAATTTATCCTCGCGATAAAAGATCCGCCTAGAGAGTCGGACCTAGAGAAGCTAGCGGCTGCCGATATATCCTGCAGCAATAAGTCACCGGTCTTCGAAGCCAGGGATTATCGGGCGAATGGTAATAGTCGACGGGGGATGATTTCTCTCCCACCAGGAGGTTCTGACGTCTAACATCGGTGCCAACCACGCCCCGATCCCCTTTTATCTCGATTCTCACTAATCTACAACCTGGCAACCCGATCGTCTTATTCTCTCCCTTATGGCTCTTATCGTTTCTTTCCTTGTCGTTATCATTATCCGCGTTTCTTGTACCGATCGATCATTTCGCGACGAGTCTCGGGAGACCTTGAAGTTTTGGCTCGACTTACACGGCGAAGGATCCTGGGCTCGTATTACTCGTTAGCAGAACTAGAGAGGATTCACGTTACTTCGAGGGAGGCTCTTCCGGCCAAGATGACTGTAAGGCCGTAAGGCCAAGACTCACCAATGTAATCCCACGTAGACTGGGAGTCACGATGTTTCGACGTAACGTTCGAGAAACTGCAGTTGCGTCTTGCAGGTGCAGCTGCTGAGCTGGTGATAATCGCCCCTTATGCTTCTGATTGCAGATTCGCCTCATGGAGGATCCTCGCAGCTTCGCTGCTGGCCGTCGGAGTCGGTAAGTTCTCACCCATGCACCTGCTCCTGCATCCCCAATGATCATCCACTCTCATTTCACCCCTATCCGGCCCCCGCCCACCCCCCGGGAACCTCCAGCATCCTCCCGCTCATTCACTCTTCCGCCGGTGGTCTAATCTCGCTACTCTTTGTTCTCGGGGAACAAGAGACTCGGGAGAGTCGAGGTATTTTACATGAATTCTTAGTCCATCCTGAGCTTGCTGGCACCCGGAACAGGACCGTCCTTTATATTCCCCTCCGCTCCAGGACCAATCCGATTTCGCCCTGGCTTTTGGCTTCGCAATCTTCAGCAGGGCCATTTAAATATCTCGGTTGAAACGAGAACCGTCCCGGAATTCCTCAGCGGACCCAGTCTAACCTTCTATGGTACATACCGATCCACAGAAAGTATCAGGCAACGCGATACTACGCCACACCGTACTGGCGCAGTATACTACCGTAGCAGTCAAAGTCGCCGGTATCTGTCTTGCTCTCGCTGAATGTGTAATAGCGGGACCGAGAGAGAGGGTGGTTCTTCCGTTTCCCGTGATACGTTTTCGCTACGGGAAACCGGAAGTGCCTCGGGCGCTATCGTATCTCGGCGAAGACGTTTACAGCGTGAAGGGAAACATTCGTGAATTCAACCTCAGCCCATCTCCCAACCCCTACCCACAATGCTAAAATGGCTTCTCACCGTGTATACCAGCCACCCCCAGACCGGTCTCTTCCGACCTTTTGCTCGCTGCGATCCAAGTCGAAGGAAGAGGAGCGACCACCCGAAGACGGCTGGAACGACCGAGACGTGATTTCTACCTTGACTTTTCTTAGTCGACTCTTTTTTTCTTTTTTTTCTTTTTTTCTTTATCGTCCCCCCTCTCTCTCTCTCTCCTTAGCTGCTTGTCAAGTGTCTTTTTTTTCCTATAGCCAGCAGCCATGGCAGTTTCACTGCTGCAGCCCTTCTTTCTCTCTCTCTCTCTCTTTTTATTCGCCACTCCACTGCTACCTCACTTTGTCCTGCTTCGTTTAGAGGGACTTCGGTGCAAGCTGTACAAAAGTTCTCTCTCTCTCTTCCCAAGGAACAATCCATACGCAATAGAAAACCCGTCTCGTTTTTTCCCTTTCGCGCTCGTGGATACTTCTCTATCAGAAGTTGACTCAGGGACACGGTTAAATACGACTTCGCCCTCGACAGCCGGAGCAACGAGTTTCCGATAACGCGCCGGATCCCGGACTCAACCGAGCGTATTACTGCAATCGCATGCATTCTCATAGTTATACGATACTATGCATTTCTCCGATCTCTTCCACCTCCATTCTCTCTCGGCTTCCTCCACCCGCCCATTGTCTCCTTCATTCATACGTATTTAGCCCCACCGGCGCCTCTCTGTACCATTCCTCCTTCCGCTCACTCGAATAATTCCATTCTCTGCGTAATCGTTCGCTTATTGATCTCGAGAAAATATCGTTTCATTTATTTTACTTTGCCGTATTTTTCTTTTTCTCCATTTTCACCTCTCTGGAAAGATACGGACCGGGATGTTCGTCATTTACCATACTCCGCTGGCTATTGTATCACGGGGCGCGGAAGGTGCTCGTAGAGAATGAGTTTGAGATAAAGAAAAAAATTGACACAGTGTATACGGCGGCAGTCCTGCTTCTATTAAGATAAAGCCTGCCTGCCGGTTACCTCGTTGTTACAGAGATAACCGAAATTGTAGAATAACGAAAAACAATTTTTTTATTCCTGATTCGCTCGGCAGTCGGTTACGTGGAATCGGTATGTAGCCAAGGATATATAATTATAATAATGATAACAGTCGGTTGATAAAATGGGTAAAAATAATAAATTGTAGGAGAAAATATTCTGTTCCGTGCCGAAGGGGCAGGCGAGAGGCAATATCGACGGAGGGAAACGGAAGAGGCCTGGGAATGCGACAGCACCGGGAGACAGTAATGGTATATGAAGTAAGGTGCGATAAAGGGAAGGATAAAAAAATAGACGACGCGTCTGGCATTAGCCAGGGAGGTGCATTGAAAGGGGCCAATATTCCAAGCGGTTGCATCCTGCAGAGTTGAATTCAACGGGGAATTCAATTAGCGCCTGTCCCCGGAAACCTCAAGTAATTTGCACCCCCTCCCTGCGCCACCTCATCCCTTCGCCCCTCCACCCTTCGTCCTCCAGTCATTGGCTCCTCCTGCATACACGTAGCCCGACCTATACTTGGTACCGGTACCGGTGAACCGACGGTGACCGTCCTCCACATCCCGGAAGCCATGTTCGCAAACAGAGGAACGTGCTCATGGTGCCGCGACTCGTAACTGGGATCATGGAGTAAGTTTGTCAAAGTTTCCGAATGAGCCATGAGAGGAGGCCTTGAGGGGCGACGCTTGCCAAGGTACATGGAGCTGAGAATCAAGGAGTTTCGATTTCCATAGAGAACTCTCGGAAGGTTTCGACTCCCGCGACCACCGGTTTTACAGTCTGTAGGTTGGCTGCGCCCGGGGCGGGGAACTTGGAAAATTTAGGTAATCGTATCGCGAATAATTTTGACGAATGAACATAGGAATAACCGGATGAAGCTGTAGGTAGCCTCTGAGTAGATACACCAGTCAGGTAGTCTTTCGACTCCTTGGTTAAGCGAGTCACGATCGTTTTAGAATATATCCCGGGGGTAATCGAGCAAGTGCGAACCAGGGGTCGACTAGGGACTCGTTTATCGACTCGGTTCATGATCAACTTCCGGATTGATCGGAGCCGTCGATACGAAAGATCGGGATGATGGGAGCGACATGACGAAGGACATAGTACCTGGGTCCTTACAGGAAGGAGGCTCTTTCGGAGGGGAGCAACTGTCCGTCGAGTCCGTTCGAGTAGAGGCAGTCGAGTCTTACAGTAGAATTGAGAAACACAATGGGGCAGGGTCGCTAGTGCGTCTCGTTGGCCAGGAACAAGGAACACCTGGAACTGGGACGGAACTGTACCTGGGAACTGGGAAACTGGATTGGTAGCTGGCACAACGATATTTCAGAACACTGGAAAATGGTTGCCGTCGAGACGGAGGGGGATGCTGGATGAGCTTTTATAAATGCAAAATGAATTCGTGCGCGGTGAGCAGAGTCAATAGCCGTTTGTCATTACGCGTCGCGACGCTCGTTCTGCGTCGACCAACGGGATATTTGTCGCGACTCCTCGTCTCGTGTGAAAATTAAATGAAAATTCCACGAAGCTGTTTTTCAGGGCACCGCGATATCCTCTTTGGGAAAATTGAACACTGCGATGAGGTGGAGGAGGAGGAGGAGGGTGGGGGGGGGTGGGGGGGGGGAAGGGG